CTGTGTAGAGACCTTGTCTCCCTTGGAAATGGTTACTTGTGTTTCTTTTTGGATAGAGCATAATAGTTCTTTATAATTCAAATTGTTTATGACTTCTAGCTTGTATCAGGAACGTGGCCAAGGAATGGTTGTTGGAAAAGGAAGAACTACTGCAAGGAAGAGTAAGAAGGACAAGAATAAAAAGAACTCAAGCTTAAAGATTCCAAATGAGGTGGAAAACTCCGAAATATCAGTTAGACCAGATTCTCCTTCCTCTGTTATTTTCCAAGATGAGAAACTGAAGTTTGAATGTGCATTTGATAACTCAAATCCCTATAGTCCTCCTAATCTGCTTTGTGGGAAGGACATCAATGCCCGAAGTACCCTGGATAATATCTTACTAAGGTGTACTGAAGGTGTTTGTCATACAGTTGCAGAGTGTAAACAGTCCTTGGGTAAAATTGAGAATCAAACTCCATCTTCTCAAGTAGAAGCTTTGAGCTGTGAAGTAAAACATGATGCAAATAATCCTATTTTTCCTGCAACACGGCTTGATGGTCTTCTCAGCAGTGAAAGCATGAAGTCTCAGACTTCTTTTCATGCAAATGAGTCTGAGGCAAAAGATATTTTGCCTCACAAACCAGCTAGGGCTTTTGATGGAAGAAGAGAATCTTCTTTGACTAAGAAACAAGAGAAAAAAAGTTGTTATGCTGCTAGCCCTCCAACCTCTTCAGAGTGTTTCTCATATGAATGGCCCAGTGTAGCTCCTTTTTATTTTCCATCTGTTAATTCACATCTTCCAGCTGCCACTGACAGATTACATTTAGATGTTGGTCATAATTGGCGTAGTCCTGTTCGCCAACCTTTTATATCTGCAATGGGTAAGACAAGAAATACTACTGTTGAAGGTGGGTGCAACCCGACCCTGTCTCGACCAATGCCAATGAGTTTGGATTGGCCCCCTATGGTTCGAAGTTCATGTGGATTAGCAGCATTGTTGACCTGTAATTATGATTCTGGATTCATCACCAGGAGGCAGTCTTCTTTTCAGCAGAACCTTGCCAGTCAGAGTGTGCCATTTAGTGCCAAAACCACTGATGATGAACACAAGTATTCTCGGGATTTCAAAGATTTGTCTGAGCTGCCAAACACTCAGGATGTTGGGGATGAATGCGACAGTCACTGGATATCAGAGGAAGAATTTGAGGTGCATGCAGTTTCTGGGATGGATTATAATCAATACTTTGGTGGTGGCGTGATGTATTGGAACCCTTCTGATCATCTCGGGACAGGCTTCTCGCGCCCTCCTTCACTTAGTTCTGATGATAGTTCATGGGCTTGGCATGAAGCGGATATGAATAGGGCAATTGATGACATGGTTGCATTCCCTTCTTCTTATAGTACAACTGGTTTGACTTCTCCAACTGCTGCTTCATTCTGTTCTCCTTTTGATCCTTTGGGCCCTGGACACCAGCCACTTGGTTATGTTGTTTCAGGAAATGAAGTACCTGGCAAAGTGTTGCATTCTTCATCAACTACGAATGAAGCAGCAGCTGACGAGGAGATTTCTGGATCTCTCGCGAGTTTATCTGCTGATGTTGAAGGAAATACAGGAGATTCACTTTCTTATCCCGTCTTGCGTCCTATCATCATTCCTAATATTTCAAGGGAAAGACCAAGGTCTGAATTTAAGCATGGTTTTGATCTTAAAAGCCCGTGTGTTCCCCCTACTAGGCGCGAGCAACCTCGGATAAAGCGGCCGCCATCACCTGTAGTGCTATGTGTTCCGCGTGCTCCACGGCCACCTCCACCCTCTCCTGTGAGCGACTCTGGAAAGAAGAGGGGCTTTCCAACTGTTAGGTCTGGTAGCTCTAGCCCAAGACATTGGGGTGTGAGAGGTTGGTATCATGATGGAACTAACTTAGAGGAAGCTTGTTTAAGAATGGATGGTGCTGAAGTTGTTTGGCCTTCTTGGAGAAACAAAAGTCTCTCAGCTTGTCAAATGATTCAACCTCTCCCCGGGGCATTGCTGCAGGATCGTCTGATTGCAATGTCCCAGCTAGCTCGTGATCAGGAACATGTAGGTTTAACATATATATATATATATATATATATATATACATATTATGTATTCTGAATATGATAATGGATTTTGAGTTGCAGTCACATAATTCTGTTTTGCAGCCAGATGTGGCATTTCCCTTGCAACCACCTGAGGTGTTTAACTGCTCTACACGGAAGGCATCTTTCTCTTTGATGCACAACCTCCTTCATGATGAAATTGACTATTTCTGCAAGCAGGTACAGGCTAGATTCATCTTCTTCAAACATTTTCTGCAGGATTTGCATGTGAAATTTGTATTTGGGTTTTATAGCTTTGAGCTCAAATTTCCATTCATTTATGGGTGTTGCGAAATCATTGATTATTTGTATGACATGATGAAATCCAAGGTTGCAGCAGAGAACATGGCTCGTAAGCCATACATTAATTGGGCTGTCAAGAGGGTCACTCGTTCTCTCCAGGTCCTGTGGCCCAGGTCTAGGACAAATGTATTTGGTTCAAATGCAACTGGTTTGTCCCTTCCTTCTAGCGACGTGGACCTTGTTGTTTGCCTTCCTCCTGTGAGGAACTTGGTAAGCATGTCAGGATCCAATATGCTCTCGATTACTTCTTCCCCATGCACTTATGTTTATACTGGAAGACTAATTTTCAGATACCTCTTCCAGGAGCCTATTAAAGAAGCTGGAATTTTGGAGGGTCGCAATGGTATTAAAGAAACTTGTCTTCAGGTACGTTCTTAGCATCCATTGTCCTTTGGTGGTTGCAATAAGAAGGCAACTTTCTCTTGACTGTTGATTAATGTTGTTTTCATACTTTTTAAAAATGGAATAATAGAGGAACAATAGATACTATTCATTCCATTATTTTGGTGAATCGAGAACTTTAGATTAATTAGTTTTACACATGTTGATGAGATTTAGATTTTTATGTTGCTAAATATAAAAAATTTGCATCTCTTTGAACAAAATTTGATACAGTTGGTGCACCATAATTTTGGAATTTGTTCTATTTGTTGCCTTGTCTTTGAGATTTCATTCCCCGTTTAATGTTAGGTCCTTTGGTTGTGGTATTATAACTTATCAACTCAGGTTCGTCAGAAAAGATGAGAAGAAAAAAATGAAGAAATCAGGTTTGTTTTGAGTAGTTGTGAGAAAATCCGGAGAAAGCTGCCCAATACAGGTCTATTGTGTTCTTTAAATTTATGAGAGCTGGTTATAGTGCAGTCCACCACATTTATTTCTCTGCGGGAATAAGTAAAAGTGCTTGTTCTGTTTCAAGTTCAGTTACTGTGTATTTTATTATAGTTTTTTTTTTTCTAAACATTTTGGATCTAGTTCTCATTATTCTCATCATTGTAATTCATATCTATTTCAAAAAAATATTAAACAACACCAAATAATCTTATGTATTTTGTTTTATCTATGATGTTGGTTACCACAATCCTTTGGGCTATGGCTCATGGGCCACGGTTTTATATTAACTTTTGTATTTCTCCCCTGTCCTCTCTCTCTCTGTTTGTTTTTCATTGTTTTGGAGAATCCCTAGAGTCTTCCATTGATGCAATCTTCTTCTCTCTTTAGCTAATAATCAATATTTTTCATTAAAAAAAATTTCCCACTACCCTCAATCTCAAATGGAAATAAAAAGTGGTTGTTGTATTTGGTAGGAGCTGAAAGTTTACTTTTGATTTCCATTCTATCGAGGTCAATGGAATTATTTGTAGCTGTCATCTTCCTGTTATTCCTGAAAAATGATTTATTCTTGCTTGTCTTTCAGCATGCAGCCAGGTATCTTGCCAATCAGGAATGGGTAAAAAATGATTCTCTGAAGACCGTGGAAAATACTGCTGTATAGCTCATCTCTTGCAATCTTCTTCTTCTTCTTCATCATACTATTATCTTCTAATGTCTTTCGTTTGACATGACCATTTCATCTGCTTTCAGATTCCTATTATCATGCTTGTGGTTGAAGTTCCATGTTATTTGGTTTCTACTGCAACCTCTAATGTGCAACCACTGAAAGATCAGTCAACTTGTACGGATGTTGATCGAGGCAACCGTGTCTCCTCTGATATGATAGAAGATTCTAGTTCACCAAAGTGCTCACACAGTATTTATGAAGATATGATAGATGTGAAATCAGTTCGCCTTGATATTAGTTTTAAGAGTCCATCACATACAGGACTCCAAACTACGGAGCTGGTACGTAGTTGCATGAACTTAGTTCATTTTTATAAGTTTTAAGCTTTTTTATTATCTAAAATTAAGAGAATGTTATTTGCTTTTGTGGAAAAATGCCAGTGTTATTATTTTTTTTGTCATTGTTTTGTAGGTGAAAGGGCTGACAGAGCAATTTCCAGCAGCCACACCTCTTGCTTTGGTACTAAAACAGTTCTTGGCAGATCGTAGCTTAGACCAATCATACTCTGGGGGCTTAAGTTCTTATTGCCTTGTGAGTTACTCTCAGTTCTTCTTTTGCATGATATCTAACACCTCATGATGGAATGGTCATCCTGAACTTACACTAAAATTTCTGCATACCTGCACCTAAACTGAGGAGGGAGTAAAGCTATACAAATATCGTGTGCATAGGTTCCAATGTTGAGTAAATGCGAGATCTTGTTCTCTTTCAGTTGTCCATTTTGCCTTTTTCTCATCGTAGTTAAGCGTGTCTAAAATTTGTTGGAATTTGGCATTTGTTTTCCTTTAATTTCACCTTTCTGTTGCTGTCAGATTTCAGTTAGTCAAATAATGTGTCTTGAGAAGTGTAAAGTGCATTAACGTAGGATAAAGGGTATATATTCCTCTTGTTGTAATTAAGTATGTTTCCTTTTATTATTCATGTAAACTTGTATAAATAGACCCCTTATAATTCCATAATAGACACAGTTCATTCTCCAAATGGTATCAAAACTCCAGGAAAAAGAACCCAAGGCTTCTTTTACAAATCTTACTTGGCCTTTATTGCCAAAATAAGAAAATCCTTGGAGGTTAGCCTTCTTTTCCACCTCCCTCCATCACCAAAATAGCCAGCCACCATGAATTGTCAACCAGGCACCAAAACCGGCCTTCATTGCTGATTCCAGCTCCTCAGCTGCGCCTTAGCCGCTCCTCAACCATGCGTCCAGATTTCTCCAGCAGCATGTCCAGGTCCCGTCCACACAGCATAGCCGCTGCCCCCTTGTGTGTCTGTCCCTGCTTGTCTCTCTATCCACCGTTGTTGGTCCATGCACAGCTGTGCCTCCTTGCAGAGCCCCTTATGCTAAGCATTTTGCCGCAAAACAGCATGGGAATTCCAGTTGGTGATTTTCTTTCTGTTACCTCTTATTTGACCTTAATTGCAATAAGAAGTCGTAGATTATGTCGAAAGTAACATACCCAATTTCTGGTACAAATTCCCAAATGGGAAATTTTAGACAAAGCACCAGCTAACTTCAGTCAATCTAGGCTGTTTATATTTTCACTGGTAAAGATTATCTGTGCTGGTCACCATTGATTTGAACATTCTCAAGCGAAAAGGAAAATTTAGTCTTGGCACAGGACCAAAATAAGGAGATCCAGCATTTGATGCTTAGGATGAAAAAGACTTAATAACTATGGCCAGACTCTGGAATTTCATGTTCCCGGAAATAAAGAAAACAATCATGTTCCTGCCTGCAACAAAAGAGGTTTGAGACTCAATCGAAGAAACTTACTCGAAGGGAAAGAATGCAACCTAGATTTATGATCTTGTCGAATCTTGGATAACCAAATGGGAAAATAAACCAGCTATAGAATAGGCAACTCTTTTGAAGAATTGATAGTAAGAAATCGATCAGTACCACAGTCTCACTGTGGAGTGTAGTAAAGACGCAACAACATTGAAGAGAATAGTTGAAAAGGGTAGGATGTATTAATTTATGGTTGGACTAAATGGAAGATACGATCAAGTAAGGGTTCAGATCCTAAGAAAAGAGATGTTATGTCTAAATGAGGTAATATCTCTTGTCAGTGTAGAAGAAAATAAAATAGTAGTTATACTTGGACCTTGCACAACTATAGCACTGCAACAACTATTATGGACTCTAAACCACATCACTAGGAAAAGGAGTCCAGTCACAGTGAGAACTCAGCTATTGGCGGGGAAAGCAAAGACAATCTTTGGTATACCTTCTGCAAGAAGTCTCGACACACCAAGAAAAATGTTGAAAGTTTTATGGAAAGCCACTACCTCTAGTAAAAACTAGGGGTGCAAGAAGGCTCAAGGACATGCACACATGGGCTAAGAAGAGAAGGCTACAGACATTAATGACTTCAAGTTAGAAATAGAATGCCTTAGGACTCAACTTGAGCATTTTGAAAAGGTTAGAAGTAAAGGTCTCTTAGCACGTTGAGATACACTTCCTACTATCTCAAAAGAAAATGTCTGGATAAATCTATTGAATTGTCATGGATTGTGGATTCAGGAGCTAATAATCACATAACAAACTCTTCCATATTTTTTAATTTTTATGCTCCATGTTCAGACAATAAGAAAATTGTTACTGCTGATGGTTCACTAACTATAGTAGTAGGAATTTGAAACATACAACTTGATCCTTATTTCACTCTTACTACGTACTCCATGTCTCAAAATTGTGTATCAATCTCATATCGATGACCAAATTGTCTCATGACTCAACTATAAAGTGATTTTTTCTTTTCTCTTTGTGAATTGAAGGGCCAAAAATTGGGGAGGACGATTGGATGTGTTGAGGTTCGGAACGAGTTATACTTCTTGAATACACCTGACATACCATGAACTGTTAAGGTTATGGTTGTATCACAAAAGATTAGGGCACTCATCTTTCTTCACCCCTTAAGTTATGTTTTCCTTTCTATTTTCCAATGTAATAATAAAAACTTGCATTGAAATATATGTGAACTGGTAAAACACAAACGTGTAATTTTTCCTCTAGTAATATAAAAGAGACAATTTTCCTTTTCACAGTGATACTTGGGATTCCTCAAATGTTCCTAATTTTTTTGAGATTCAATGGTTTGTTTCTTTTATTAATGATTGTACTTGAGTAACTTGACTTTTCTTTTTAAAATCGAAAATTGAGCTTAGTTTTATCATTCTCTAGTTTCACATTGTGGTCAAAACTTAGTTTGGTGTCAAAATTAAATATCTGTATTTCTAATGCTCGAGACTACTTTAAACAGACATTATTCTCATATGTCAATATTCTACAACAAAATGGGTTAGTAGAAAGGAAAAATAGTAACTTGCTCACCACTACACGTCTTCTTATTTCAAAACCGTATACTCAAACACCATTAATGTGAAGTTTTATTAATCACTACCTATGTTATCAATTAGTTACCATTTAGAGTACTGGGCTTTCGCAGTCCAACAGAAGTTCTAGCTACATTTTTCTTTGAACTCTGAGTAACCAATTATCTAAATCCCCATGTCTTTGGGTGTGTTGCCAATGTTCATATACATCAATCTCAAAATGGAAAAATTGACTCTAGGGTTATCGAGTTTGTGTTTGTTGAATGCTTGCCAATGCAAAAAGGTTACAAATATTATCATCCATCTACCAAAAAGTTTTATGTATTCACTGATGTTATCTTTGTTACAATCGAATCCTTTCCTTGCTCTTATCTTCAGGGGGTGACCATTCTAGAAGATAATGAGAACTCGTTCTTTGACATCTTCCCTCACCCTTAAATACTACACCTTCTAAAACAATCACTCAATTAGAAAACCAAAGTCCACAAAATGAGCCAAACTAGAACCCACAAGATGAATCTCAAGTGCCGTAAAATGAACTTGAACATCAAGTCATACAAGACCCACACTTTTCACTGGTGTGTTTAAGAAGAAAAAACTTGGACCGTAATCCGAAGCAAGTTCAAGGAGCCGAACCGGACACCAAAAATGAGGTAAGCACTGAGAATCACATTCCTTCTGATATTGATATGCCTGTGCACTTAAAAAAGGGATAAGAGAAGGCATTAAGCATCCGTTCTATCCAATCTCAAATTTGGTCGCTTTTGAAAAATGTTTATCATCTCACAAGAAATTTTTCATGATCTAAATGCAATATCCGTCTCTAAAATATTATCTGCGACTTTAAACTGTGAGGAATGAAGAAATACTGAGTGTTGAAATGTAGATACTTGAAAAAAATCAAATATGAGAGTTGGTAGACCTACTTAAAGGAAAGAGACTAGTTGGCGTAAATGAGTGATCACTACAGTCTGATCTATGGTCCAACCATAGAGACGAGGTACAAGGTAAGATTGGTGGCCAATGGGTGTATTCACACACGGGATTGATTGTCAAAAAATATTTGCAGCCATTGTAAAGATGAATACTGTATGTATCTACCATTCTTAGTGGCTAATTTCAATTGACAATTGCAATAGTTTGCTATAAATAATACCTTCTTGTATGGGGAATTGGAAGAAAAAATTTACCTGGAAATCCTCCCCGTGTGTGCTAAGGAAGTAGGACCAAATAAGGTATGCAAACTGAAGAAAACACTGTATGGGCTTAAGCATTCCCCCGGGCATTGTTTAAGGGCTTTGCAAAGGTGATGCTATCCATGGGGTACAAACAGAGTTAAGGATATTACATCCTGTTCATTAAGCACTCAGAGTCAGAAGGAGTCAATGCTCTCTTGGTATATGTAGATGATATAATTGTTACAAAGAATGATGAAGGAGAAGAGTTAATTCTCAAGTAATGCTTGACTAGAGAATTCGAGATTTAAGAATTGGAGAAATTAAAATATTTTACAAAAATCGAAATAACTTTACTCAAATTCAGGAATATTTATCACACAACAAAAATGTTATTAATCTTTTGAAGGAAACTAGCAAGCTAGCAAACAAACTTGTTAGCACATCAATTGATCCCAATCATAAGCTAAGATTGACAAAGGAAGACTCCGAGGTGGACAAGGAAATGTACTAGTGAGTAGTGGAGAAATTAATGTACTTATCACATATTAGGGTAGACGTTGTATGTGTAATTAGTGTAATGAGATAGTTTATACACAAGTATAAAGAAGTGCATTTGCAAGTTGCCTACGGGATGAAGAAGACTTAAAGATGGACAAGGAAATGTACTAGAGACTAGTGGAAAAATTGATATACTTGTCACCTGCTAGGGTAAACATTGTATATGCAGTTAGTGTAATGAGCCAATTCATGCACAAGCTCAAAGTAGTGCATTTGCAAGCTGTATTCATGATACTCTACTACTTGAAGGGTACTCATAGGGAGAGGATTATGTTTAAGAGAAACAATAGACTATTTGAAATATACACTGATGCTGATTATGCAGGATCACTAGTTGACAGAAGATTTACTTCTGGATATTGAACATTTATCGGGAGAAATCTAGTGATTTAGAGAACTAAAAAACAGAATGTGGTAGCTTAGTATAGTGCAGAGCCGGAGTTTAAGATTATAGCTTAAGAGGTGTGTGAATTCTTATGGTTGAAAATGATTTTAGAAAATTTGAAGATTTAATGGAGGGGTCGGTGACACTCTACTATGACAATAAGTTGGCAATTAATATTTCTCACTATTTGGTATAACATGATAGGACAAAACATATTGCAGTAAACAGATTTGTCATCAAGAAGAAACCGGATAATGGATTGATATGCACTCCATATATGCCTACTGCTTTGCAACTTGCCAATATACTAACTGAAGGATTAAGTGATCTTGGATTTCAAAATATTATTGCCAAGCTGGAAAGGATAATATCTATCCATCAGCTGAAGCAGAGTGTTGAGAAGTGTAAAGTGTATTAAAGTAGAATAAAGGACATAGTAGTAATACACTCCTCTCATTGTGATTAAGTATATTCTCTTTTATTGCTCATGTAAACTTGTATAAATAGGCCCCTCATATCTCAATAATAGACACACTTCATTCTCCACAACATGCTCAACTTACTCCCAAGTTTTTGTAGTATTTTGGGATTATGCATGAACCTTTGTAATAATGCTCTAGCAGGGATTAATATTGAGGAGGATATGGCTATCAGGTTTGCTGAATCGATTGGTTGTGATATTTTATCTTGACCTGTCACTTATGTAGATGTCCCTTAAGGGGTGACCCTCTGGTTGAGTCTTTTTAGGATCCTACGGTAAAGTTTCTAGGAGGCTCAATTGTTGAGAGGGCGGTTTGTTTTCTCGAAGAGGTACAGTTTCTCTTATCCAAGCTTGTTGGTCTAGTATTCTTGTGTGTAGTCTCTCTTTGTTTAAAATCCCTATGGATGGCTGCAAAACTTGAGAGGACAAAGAGGAGTTTTTTATGATTTTGGGCCGGTGACCTTGAGAGATCATTTGGTTAGATGAGGTGTCTCTTGTCTTTCCAAAGAAGACGGTTGTATGGGGTTCCCATATCTAAAAATTTGTCTTTAGGCTAAACAAATTTGGCCTTTTCCTTTAGAATCTTGTTCTTTGTGGTACAAGGTGATTAAGAGTAAGTATGGATTGCACACGAATGGTTGAGATTGTAAAGGTAGGAGTACCCTGACTGGTATGAGCCATTAGAAAGCCAGCTGCCCCATGATTTTTTTGTTCTTCATGCATATTTAAAAATGGTCGATATTTCTTGCATTTGTTCTGAGAATGTCTCTGGATTGGTGATCTTCCCCTTGCTATTCTTTTCCCTAGCATTCTGCCCTTTGTTCATGTCATAAACCAACCTCTTGGTCACTCTCTCAACCATTTTGATGGTAACATCTCATAAAATTTCTTTTTCTTCAGAAATCTTAATGATCAAGAATATGACGATATGATTTGTTTGCTTAATATCCTTGGGCATTTTCATGTTTCTTGATAACCTGATAGCAAAATCTGGACTTGGGATATCTCAAAATTTGTGCACTTGCATCTCTTTTCCCATCTACCTCATAATTCTAGTAGCCATAATAAGACTTTCAATAAATCATTTTTGAAGGCTAAACTTCATTAAAGTTAAAGTTTTTGTTTAGACAACCATTCTAAACAGGTTCAGTACTGATGATCTGTTGCAAGTTTGTAGACATAATTGTAACCTCTCCTTGGATGTCTATGTGCTTTCAGGCACTTAGTCTTAGCTATTTTTTTGTACTGTGAGGTGGCTTGGAGGCTTTATTCTAAGCTTTTTGATACTTTTTGGTTTTATGTGG